CCATACAGATAACTTTTTTCCTCTTCCCTTACTCGCACCCCCTTTCATGTCATCGTGCTGTGGGGGAACCAGTCGAAAAATCTCTCCGGGTACTCATCGACTCTGGGGCCAATGAGAGCTTTATGGACACAACCCTGGCATCCGAGCTGGGCATCCCCACTCAGCCCCTCTCCATTCCCATGGATGTTAGAGCGTTGGACGGGCACTCTATAGGCCGGGTCACCCACAATACCACCCCCATCAACTTATGAGTATCAGGGAACCACAGCGAGACGATCCAATTCCTGCTAATTAAGTCTCCTCAGGTTCCCATGGTATTGGGTTCTCTTGGCTCCAGTGACACAACCCCTTTATTGACTGATCTACTGGTGCCAACATGGGCTGGAGCCCGTTCTGCCACGCTCATTGCCTGAAGTCAGCGGAGCCTTCCCAGGGACATCTTCCTTGGGGCTCGGAAGTTGCCTCAGACCTCTCCGCCATTCCCGCGGCGTACCAGGACCTCCGGGAGGTGTTCAGTAAGGCCCGGCCACTTCGCTTCAGCCGCACCTACCCTACGACTGCGAAATAGACCTTCTCCCAGGCACCACTCTGCCCCGGGGACGACTGTACTCGCTGTCGGGTCCGGAGACCAAGGCTATGGAAACCTACATTGATGACTCCCTAGCTGCCGGGTTCATCCATCCTGCCTCCATCGCCAGCGCAGGGTTCTTCTTTGTGGAGAAGAAGGACAAAACCCTGCGTCCGTGCATCGACTACCGGGGCCTCAACGACATCACGGTGAAAAACCGCTACCCACTACCACTCATCTCCTCGGCCTTCGAGCCGCTCCAGGGGGCCAACGTGTTCTCCAAGCTGGACCTACGGAATGCCTACCACCTGGTGCGGATACGGGAGGGGGACGAGTGGAAGACTGCCTTCAACACAGCCAGCAGCCACTACGAGTATCTGGTCATGCCATTTGGCCTTACCAATGCTCCAGCTGTGTTCCAGTCCCTGGTTAACGATGTTCTCCGCGACATGTTGAACCAGTTAATCTTCGTCTACCTCGACGACATCCTCGTCTTCTCCCGCTCCGCCCAAGAACACGTGCTCCACGTCCAACAGATACTCCAACGCCTCCTGGAGAACCAGCTTTTTGTTAAAGCGGAGAAATGCGAATTCCATCGCTCCGCCATCCCCTTCCTGGGCTACATAATCGCTGCAGGGAGTGTACAGATGGATCCCGGGAAGGTGAGCGCGGTGGTGGATTGGCCCCAGCCTACATCCAGAGTGCAGCTGGAACGTTTCCTGGGATTCGCCAACTTTATCTCCGCTTTATCTAGGGTTACAGCAACCTGGCTTCCCCCCTGTCTGCACTCACCTCTCCCAAGGTTCCGTTCACATGGTCCTCAGCTGCTGACCAGGCATTCCGGGACCTCCAACACCGTTTCACCACTGCTCCCATCTTGGTTCATCCTGACCCGTCCCGCCAGTTCGTGGTGGAAGCCAATGCTTCGGATGTCGGAGTGGGGGCAGTCTTGTCCCAGCGTTCGGCCCTGGACCTCTAGTTACATCCCTGCGCCTTCTTCTCCCATCGCCTCAACACCACGGAGAGGAATTACGATGTGGGGAATCGTGAGCTTCTCGCGGTGAAGATGGCATTGGATGAGTGGAGGCACTGGCTGGAGGGGGCGGAACATCCGTTCATTGTGTGGACAGACCACAAGAACTTGGAATATCTCCACACCGCCAAGCGTCTCAATTCCAGGCAAGCTAGGTGGGCCCTGCTTTTCACCCAGTTCAACTTCTCCCTCTCATACCGACCGGGATCCAACCATGTCAAGCCAGATGCGCTGTCATGCCACTATTGCCCCGCAGCTACACCCCCGGAATCCGAGACCATCCTTCCCACCTCGTGCTTAGCGACGGCATTCAGTTGGGGAATAGGGAAGCAGGTCTGGGAGGCACAGCATTTTCAGCATTTCAGCATTTTCGGCTGAAAACACACCGTCCAACCTCTGCCTGTTCCTCACCATCTCTGATCTCACATATCCCTGGACTTTGTCACGGTTCTTCCCCCGTCTGATGGGAATACCGCCATCCTGACTGTTGTGGACCGGTTTTCCAAAGCCACTCACTTCAAAGAGACGGCCAAAGAGACGGCCCAGTTCATGGTGCAGCATGTCTGCCGGATCGATGGACTCCCAGTGGACATGGTCTCCGACCGGGGTCCTCAGTTCTCATTCCGGTTCTGGAAGGCGTTCTGCACACTCATTGGGTCGTCGACCAGACTGTCCTCCGGTTTCCACCTTCAGTCCAATGGCCAGTCGGAGCTGCCCTTCCGGGTGGAGTCCCGCAAACTTTCCCCCCGGTTTATCGTCCCTTTCCCCATCTCCAAGATCATTAGTCCCTCTACTGTTCGTCTTCTGTTGCCCCGTACCCTCTGTATACATCCCACTTTTCATGTGTCAAGGATCAAACCCATGTCTCACAGCCCTTTGTCTCCTGTTTCCAGGCTCACCCCTCTCTCCTGCCTCATCGATGGCCAACTGGCGTACACAGTGAGGCATCTCCTGAAGGTTCGACCTCGGGCAGGGGATTCCATTACCTGGTTGACTGGGAGGGTTATGGCCCGGAGGAGAGGTGCTGGGTCCCCACTAGGGACTGTCACACCCTGATCTGTTTCACCTGTCTTTGTGACTGTCTCCAACCCCCTCCAGGTGTAATAATAATAATAATAATATGCCATTTAGCAGACGCTTTTATCCAAAGCGACTTACAGTCATGCGTGCATACATTTTTGTGTATGGGTGGTCCCAGGGATCGAACCCACTACCTTGGCGTTACAAGCGCCGTGCTCTACCATCTTCCCCATTATCCCCAGTGTATTTATACCTGTGTTCTCTGTTTGTCTGTTGCCAGTTCGTTTTGTTTCATCAAGCCTACCAGCGTTTTTCCCCTTGCTCCTGTCTTTCTCAATTTCCTGTTTTCTAGTTTTCCCAGTTTTGACCATTCTGCCTGCCCTGACCCTGAGCCTGCCTGCCTGCCGTTCTGTACCTTGTCACACCACCCTGGATTATTGACCTCTGCCTGCCCTGACCTTGAGACTGCCTGCCATTCTGTACCTTTTGGACTCTGATCTGGATTACTGACCTCTGCCTGCCCTTGACCTGTCGTTTGCCTGCCCCCTGTTTTTGTAATAAACTTTTGTTACTTCGACACTGTCTGCATCTGGGTCTTCTCCTGAAAGGTGATAAAAAGGATATCAGTAACTCTTACAGCTTTCATTTACAGAATAAACAAATACTGTTGAATCAAAAGTGTGTCAAGGAAAGAATAATAATTAGGAGAATATTTGCTACATTTCCTTATGTTTTGGGAATTAAAATAATTAGTGCTGGTTGAGGCAGAGCCTCTAATTTAACGCCTGGCCTGCTCTCCACTATAGCTGCTTCAGCCCTCCACTTTCAAACAAAACCATCCAGTCATCAGTATTACTTCAACCTGCCAGCTTTAGACATTTCTGTTTTTTCAGCAGATTCCCAAACGACAAAACTAGTTGCGCTGATTGGCTAGCTCTCCGCCTGTCCCTTTGTCTGCCTTCTCCGTTTGTTCTATCCCCCATTTCCCTATTCACCGACTCAAACGATAGTGCTATTAGCCTGCTGGAAATCTGCCTGTCTTGGCATTATAGGGGCCTTGTTGTATTTTGTCAGGCAACCCAACTTTAATACAGAGTCACTTAGTCTTCATAAAAGGAGTCGATTAAGGTAAGCTTGTCAGCGTGTGGTTGAATTTATGCAATAATATCATCCATCTTGAAAATAATGAATTATGATTTAGTGTGTTCGTGTGTGCCCGTCAATCTCTGATTCTTTCCAGTATATGAAAAAAAAGAGTCAGTCATTCAGGGTAAAAAATGAGGGTCAGTCATTGCTGATGTTAAATATTGGTATAGTGCTCCAAAACATTTCATTTTTAAATGATCAAATAGGCACATGCTATCTGCTGTATTAAGAAAACTATAAAATAATTTGTGTTTGGGAATAATCTGGTTATTGAACCACTGAGAAATATTGACCAAATTTGTAGCCTATAGAATCAGTTTTCAATAAACTATTGTAAAATCCCCACCAAATTATAACCAACAATTTTGTTGACGTAAATAGGGTATGGATGGAAATGTAGGGTATGGCGACATATCGGTGACACCAAAAACAACTAGGTTGCCCTCTTCTGGCCAGTGTAAAACTGATTGATGATTGATGGGAGTGTCTATGGCTAATTTGTTTCTGCTCTCACGGTAAGAAAAGTAGAGCTGTATTTGAAAGGGACAGATTTAATGTGAATTTATTTTACAAATGCAAATGTTATTTTTTTCTGATATATTGGCACTCAGTGCTGGCAATGAAATATTAGCATTAGTACATTTTTCAGTATTTGGGTCAGTTTTACAGTAGTTATTTCTGGAATAGCAACAAATGTGATCACAAATTATCCTTTGAAACATACTCAGGGTTGAGATTGAGAAGCCGCTATAAGAACAGCAATACATAGAGCCACAAAGAAACCCACATAAAATGTGGATCTACTATATTTGCAATGGTTATTAAAATTATGTTCTGGATTTTACCAGACATAACCTGCCATGTCAATCTTTTGAAGTTCAAATAAATGTGGAATTGAAATGAGAATGACCAGGGTTTGGAACAAGTGACAAATACATGTATCAAATATCAAAGTTATCCTGGGCAGATGCCCTGAGTGAAGCTCTATAATATAAAATGGCCCATCCTTTCCCACTGATCTCTCAGAGAACAAAGTGGACCTCAGAATAGACACATGCATGCGACCCCTCGGCTCAATCCAGTGGAAATTATGTGTTAATTACAATGCAATTACCAACACTTAGGGCCTCTCTCCCTGAAGTGTGCGTGTGTGTTGAGAGGGGGCCGCGGCTGACCCCTGTATGCTAAGTGACCTCACACTCATCATTGTGTGTGCCTTGTTTGTGTGTCAGTTCGCAGGTGCAGGATGTACAGCTTCATGGGCGGAGGGCTGTTCTGTGCAGGCGTGGGGAACATCCTCCTGATTGTTTCCACGGCAACCGATTATTGGATGCAGTACCGGCACTCCAACAACTACATGCATCAGGGCCTGTGGCGGTACTGCATGCCGGGGAAATGCTTCACACACAACGACAGCATTGGTGAGGAATACAGCCAGTGCACAAAATGCTGTCATAACACTGTCATAACACCCAACACATGTCATAGCAAGCCATAAATGTTATATGAGCAGTGCTATTTCCATGTTATGTGCCATGTCAGTGGTATGGCTCATGAATCACGATATGATGTGATGGGAGCTATACCAATCACACCACAGCTTGTTGATTTTGGCAGGAAAGCGTCATTATCCTTGTCACAGCATGAGCATCAAGGCTTTCCATAACAAGATTCATATTTGCCAAGCACAGTCCAAACGTGTCATCAATATGGGTAGTTTCAGGTCAGAACAGGCCAGGGTCAGTCTCTCTTGTACCCTGACAACTCCTGTTAACCTTTGACCCCCTACAGCCCACTTGGACGCCACCCGAGCACTCATGATCCTCTCCCTCCTGGCCTGTTTCATTGGAATCATCATCGGCATCATGGCCTTCATCCACTCCTCGTTCTTTGACAGGTTTGACAAAACCTTTGCTGCAAGCATATTGTTCTTCATCTCATGTAAGTTGGGTTCATTTACTATTTTACACTTATTTTACACATTTTACATAGGGCGTTTTCACATATGAAATGATGTACTATGGTTTGGTTTCCTGGAGCGTTTTTGTGGGAATACTACAGAATACATTTTGCTTTCACAAGACCTGAAATAACCGTTTCAGGGTGCGATTAGCAAGACGCACATTCTACATGAAGTTAGCGAGCTAGCTTGTTTACAATGGGCAAAAAAGTTCCATGCGATCCGCGCTACCGCGTCACAATACCTGGTGCTCTGGTCCTGGATCTTGGACCCACTACTCACGCAGGTCCAGGATTCGTGTCAGCCAGGGTTTGTTTGAGTTTCACACATGCTTTATAGCACGGATCAGGGTACCAAACGCTGCGGGATCCAGATCATAAGGGGATATGTGAAAGTGCCCATACTGTTTGGGTTTCTTTCCATGTCAAATGTTGTAACTGTATGAGAAGTGATATAAGGTTGTTATCCTTATTTGTTTGATGCTGAATACAACTTTTAGTTCAAACTCAAAGATTTTGTCGGTCGAATGGTGTGTAATTGTTTTTATGAACCACATGGTTTTTGAAGAATATAACTTAAACACACCAGGCAAAATTTGGCATAGGATATCATAATGAAATAATTGCAGTGGCGAACCTAGCTTTGGGACACAACATCAGGAGTCTGTGTATTTGTTGGACTCTCTGAGTTGTTCATCGTTCTGGTGGTTGGTGACAGAACATATGTATAATCTCTAGGAACTCTACTTACCAGACGTAAAGTGAAATGTGTCCCTCACTATCAAATAAACGACAGAATCCAACTTTTGTCCGAACCACACCATATTCCCGCCGAGTTAGACAGCAGGCTGCCATTAGACCACACACTTCACGCGAGACTTCCTACCACGAAATCTACCACTGTTTACACAGCAGGAATATGGTGCGGTTTGGACAAAAGTTGGATTCGGACATTTATTTGATAGCAAGGGACACATTTCACTTTAAGTATGGTAAGTAGAGTTCCTAGAGATTCTACATATGCTTTTGTTATGGTATGGTTATTTTCCGTCGCCAACCACCAGAACGATGCACAACTCAGGGAGTCCAACCAATACACAGACTCCCAATGTTGTGTCCCAAAGCTATGGCAAATCGGGACTATAAGACCTACACCTTCAGAAGGAACAAAAATCTTCCAATACATTGATTAAACTCAAAAATCAAGAAAATAACAGAAAACATAGCATCACTTAATGCACCCAACATTATATATTCTGTAATCGGACCATTCTAGTTCAAGTGACGGAGGAGCAATGCTTCATTTATGAATGAATCAAACAGGCCTGGCCGCGCTTCGGGCTGCCGCACACAGAGAGACAGAATCAGCATGGACACAACATGTGGCATAGCATAAAATAATGCTACCAGCAAAACAAAAAACACACTGTTTAGACAACCTATGGTAGCCTAACACCACTATCACCAATAGCAACAACAACAGTGTCACGTCAAAGGTGACAGGCTCATGGCACTGAAAAAACAGTGACCGTAATACTTGTGCACTCCATGGCGCTGAAGGAGAAAGTTTAGGTCAAACACACAGACGCGGCTGGTAGACAGGCAGCAGCAGTCACACAGCATCAAATAATGTTACAGAATAAGCAGCCCATTCACTCCAGTAGTCCCCATGAAATCAGAACAATACAAAAGCACAACCATTTCATTTCCAAAATGAAATTAACAAAGCAGTTATTACTTCCCATTGCAAATATATTTTATCACGTTCATCACACTAACCGTGATCTAACATTTATATGCAACAATGTTTCACAGTCATTATTTTCAATGAGATAGCTAACAGCAAGCAAGCTGCAACAAAAAGAACAGTGCCATTCACCAGAATATCATTTGTAAACGAAGTTTGAAAGTTAATCCTGAAAAGGGTGATACTAACAAATTAGCAACAACATCCAAATTGAAGTTGATAACAGCTGCTACAGCCTCAGTTGCCATTGTCACACAAGATACAGTGGGGGAAAAAAGTATTTAGTCAGCCACCAATTGTGCAAGTTCTCCCACTTAAAAAGATGAGAGAGGCCTGTAATTTTCATCATGGGTACACGTCAATTATGACAGACAAATTGAGCATTTTTTTCCAGAAAATCACATTGTAGGATTTTTAATGAATTTATTTGCAAATTATGGTGGAAAATAAGTATTTGGTCACCTACAAACAAGCAAGATTTCTGGCTCTCACAGACCTGTAACTTATTCTTTAAGAGGCTCCTCTGTTCTCCACTCGTTACCTGTATTAATGGCACCTGTTTGAACTTGTTATCAGTATAAAAGACACCTGTCCACAACCTCAAACAGTCACACTCCAAACTCCATTATGGCCAAGACCAAAGAGCTGTCAAAGGACACCAGAAACAAAATTGTAGACCTGCCCCAGGCTGGGAAGACTGAATCTGCAATAGATAAGCAGCTTGGTTTGAAGAAATCAACTGTGGGAGCAATTATTAGGAAATGGAAGACATACAAGACCACTGATAATCTCCCTCGATCTGGGGCTCCACGCAAGATCTCACCCCGTGGGGTCAAAATGATCACAAGAACGGTGAGCAGAAATCCCAGAACCACACGGGGGGACCTAGTGAATGACCTGCAGAGAGCTGGGACCAAAGTAACAACGCCTACCATCAGTAACACACTACGCCGCCAGGGACTCAAATCCTGCAGTGCCAGACGTGTCCCCCTGCTTAAGCCAGTACATGTCCAGGCCCATCTGAAGTTTGCTAGAGTGCATTTGGATGATCCAGAAGAGGATTGGGAGAATGTCATATGGTCAGATGAAACCAAAATAGAACTTTTTGGTAAAAACTCAACTCGTCGTGTTTGGAGGACAAAGAATGCTGAGTTGCATCCAAAGAACACCATACCTACTGTAAAGCATGGGGGTGGAAACATCATGCTTTGGGGCTGTTTTTCTGCAAAGGGACCAGGACGACTGATCCGTGTAAAGGAAAGAATGAATGGGGCCATGTATTGTGAGATTTTGAGTGAAAACCTCCTTCCATCAGCAAGGGCATTGAAGATGAAACGTGGCTGGGTCTTTCAGCATGACAATGATCCCAAACACACCGCCCGGGCAACGAAGGAGTGGCTTCGTAAGAAGCATTTCAAGGTCCTGGAGTGGCCTAGCCAGTCTCCAGATCTCAACCCCATAGAAAATCTTTGGAGGGAGTTGAAAGTCCGTGTTGCCCAGCGACAGCCCCAAAACATCACTGCTCTAGAGGAGATCTGCATGGAGGAATGGGCCAAAATACCAGCAACAGTGTGTGAAAACCTTGTGAAGACTTACAGAAAACGTTTGACCTGTGTCGTTGCCAACAAAGGGTATATAACAAAGTATTGAGAAACTTTTGTTATTGACCAAATACTTATTTTCCACCATAATTTGCAAATAAATTCATTAAAAATCCTACAATGTGATTTTCTGGAGAAAAACAATCTAATTTTCTCTGTCATAGTTGACGTGTACCTATGATGAAAATTACAGGCCTCTCTCATCTTTTTAAGTGGGAGAACTTGCACAATTGGTGGCTGACTAAATACTTTTTTTCCCTACTGTAGCTAACATTACTAGTGTTAGCATGGGAAACTTACTGCTTGGCCACTGATTATTTGCTCTTGTGCCCTCAGTAGTGATGTGTGGAGAAAGCCTAGACACCTCACCTTTCTTTAAACGGTCCCACCGTCACTCCAAAATCCTGCTCTAATATAGTTGAATGGCAGAGGCCTTCTGTCCAGATTCTGAAGGCCTACCCAATGGCTGACTGAGCTAGCTAGATTTTTCTACCCAGAGACCACCAAAGAAAAATCCTGATTGGATATTTTTTTCTCTTCAGTATTAACCCTTCTCTATCCAACACAAACTCAAGAGATGAACGCAGAAGATGCTACAATTATTGTAAAGATGAAAAAGAAATTAAAACTACATTTAATTTAAAAAATATATATGTTTTTATAAATCCTTAGGCCTTCTCTGAAGGCCCTCACAGTTCCCCACTGTATAATTGTCTAATTGAAATCTGGTTCTGGTTGAAGCAAGGTCAGATTCTCAAATTATAACTATAACTGGCTAGATTTCCATCCAAATGTTGACAGATTTTCATGCGACTTTTCTAAAATCCGTATAAAAACAATTTGCTCATTTTCCCACCAGATATGTGTTTCCATCAAATTGACTTGTTGCAGATAAAAGGCTATGCGTGATGACATGGTGAACATAAAAATTACTTTTGCGGTTAAATTCCCATGTGCCAAATAAAAAATACAAGTTAAATGGGTTTCCATCACATTTTCTACTGATGGTTTTGGCAACAGCTCACAGATACAGTGCGGGTACAGCCTATACATGATGAGATTATTATGGACAAAAGAGCAAGATCATTTTTATTTGTCAAATGGCAGCCAAGCATTATCATCATGTCACCAGAATAAGACCCTCAATATTTATTGGAAAGGAGCATCAAACTCATCACCATGCACTTTCACCACCCTGTGAAGTTCATCATAACTTATTTCATATGTAGCCTAATAAACTGCATGCTTTCCCGAGTCATAATGGGAGGACCACACAACATATCATTGCATGACTCCAAGTTTACTTTGATATGATGGTTATTAGGCCTATATCAATATTTGTGCATAAATCAATTTCCACCACCATTTTTCGCATTAATATATTTTATCAACAAAAAGATCCCACCCTGTGTAGCATATTTTGTTTGTCAACATTTGGAAAGTTTACCAACAAATGTGTTTTTTCCATCAGGCCTGTCATTACATTTGTTATCCGACATGTAGCCTACTTTACTCGCATAAAAGCTTGGATGGAAACCTGGTTACTGACTATAAAAAGTGCTATTTTGGTTGTTATCTGGGTAGTTTGGTCCACTATGCAGAATCTCATGAATTATGTATAAAAAATTAATAAACA